GAGCTGAGGCACAGAAGCCAGACTGGCCACAGCCAGGCACTGCAGGCACAGACAGGAGCATGGACGGCTCCACCACACCCTTCTCTCAACTCTTCAGCCTGCCCTGGTAGCCCATGCCCTTAATCACAGCACTCATCCAGGCAGAGGCAGGTGGGTCTATAAATCCAAGGCCAGCCTGGTGAGTTCTAGAACAGCCAGGCCTACACAGAGAAACCCTGTCTCAAAACACCAAAAAAACAAAACAAAACAAAAAACCCTCATCTAATTTTTGAAAACTGTGACATGCACCATGGTCTCCCTGTATTGTGGTGTCTGTGTGTTCACATGCTCATGGGGAGAGGAACCAACAAGGAGAAACACCCAGTGTTCCCACTTTCCCCGAATTGCACAGGTTCTACAACAGACACTAGTTGCTCTGCTCTGTATCCTGAAGCTCCTAAAATATTCAGTGATGTCTAAAGAGTGAAGTGGCCTTCCACTCCTGCACTCTTCAATGCCATCGTCCACCTGAGCAGGGGCCTCACGGCTTCAGGAAAGTTGAGGGGCCCTGGCCCCGGGCCTCCACCTCTGCCCACCTCCAGGCTTGGTCTAGAGAGGAAGGAGAGCAGCCACACTACTTTCTGTTTCAAGAGTGGGCTTGAGGAACTGCTTTGAATACTAACCAGAAGGGGCCTGGAGCCCAAACCTCAACTATCTGAGCTTGCACGGTCATGAGTCCTTCTCACACGCAGCCATTGCAACATGGCAACATGATGGAGAATGTCAAGAAGAAATGAAATCGTTCTTTACCCTGTAAGCAGAACAGCCTGGAAAGAAAACAAAAAACAAAACAACAACCAAAAAACAAAAACAAAAATGAGACTGCTTACTGGGAGTGCTGCACCAATATCTGCTCTCCACACTCCAATAAAGACCTGGGCCCTGAGTGGATCCAGCAGGAATGCCACATGGACCTGGGCCAGGGCTCTTGCTGAGGATGGCTGCTCAGACCTAAGGGAAGGACAGTGACCATACAAGTATTCCTAGTGTGCCAGACTGTAGTGACAGGCACCATTATTAAGCAACTAAGGCCCAGACAAAGGAGTGGCTCATTTAAGGCCACACAGTTCCCAAGAGCTCAGGCAGGGTACCCACAGGACTGGGCACCACATGCAACTAGCCTCCTCTCTTGCTCAGGCAATGCCTCGTTTCTCTGAGGCCTGCTGGCTCTTCTGAGAGCTGTGAGGCTCCCAGCACTGGGCCTGAGCCTCCCTTTGGCCCCACCTGCTAAGCCTCAAAGTATTCCTGGCATCTCTGAAGACAGGCTTGCTCCATCACAGCTCTGCCAGCCCTATGCCCTGTGGAAGGTAGCCAAGGCCACACCTCCACATGCTGGCAGGGCTGGCCTGGAGCAGCCATTCACATGCCTGGGGCAGCTTTTCTGCAGGTACAGGTGTCTGGTTCCATGCCCTTAGAACAGCAGGGTCTGCTGTGGCAGTTAACATTGTTAAAAGTAGAAGAACCTCATCAAACTCCTTCATGACCCCCTGACCCACATTGGGTGTTTAGAAAGGTAGGCCCAGAAGAAGGGAGGTCACTGAAGAAGTGGACACCAAGGCCACTGTCTAGATGCCTATTGCCGCCTCTCTTCAACTGCCTCAAAGATCTGCAAGACTCTGAACACGATTACCTTCACACAAACAGTACATTGCTGATACCCCATCTGGCCCCATAAAACACATTTGTGGCTCCTGTGCCTGACCCCATTATCTGTCTGCTCAAGAAATGGATAAAATGACAGTCTGAGGGTGTCCGAGAATCAGGGGAACGCTTACTCATTTAAAAAGAAACCAGGACCTTCCCCTCTCTGGAAGCAAAAACTCCAGGAGGCTGGGCCTCATTCTGGTGGGGCACCAATCTATGCACCTTTAAGTGCATCCCCTGCTAATCCCTTTGTCACTCCCACCTCCTCAAGTGGTCCAAGGGCTGGAAACAGCAGCTCAGGCAAGCCCAGAGTTAAAGAACCTGCCAGAAAGTATCTAAGCTTAGAGCTGAATGGGGCTTCCAGGAAGAAGGGAGAAAAACTGGGTGGTCCCACAAACGGGCAAGCATGACGCACAGGGCAGCCCTCAGAGGTGGCAAAGACAAAAAGGCTTAGGGAGGTGCTTCATGTACCACATGGAAGAGCTTGAGGCCTGAATGAGGTGGAGTTAGGCTGACAAAGCATTTACTGGGTTCCAGGTACTGTGCCCAGCCTGGCGCTGGATTCCACCCACATGGGCATGATGATGCATAGAACTCAGCACCACCAGAAGTGACAGGGGATAGCAACCAGGGTGTGTCCAGGCCTGTTCTTGGGCCAAGCCCAGGTGTAGCAGAAACTGCTCCTGGGACTCTCTCATGACAGAGATGGGGAACCCAAACTCAGCACATTCACCTACAGTAACTACCCTGCTCTGCCAGCCCAACATGACCTGTATTCCCAAAGCTGCAGCTAAGGACACAACAAGCTGTTTCATGGCCACTCAGGACCATAAACACTATGAGGCTAGAAAATTCTCTATCCTACCATGCTGGAGAAGGAAAGAAGGCACAGCATGACTTGGGACAGATGTGGCCCTTACTGACTTAGACACAGACACAGACACACAGACACTCAACAAAATGGACCACTGAACATCCTGTCTACTTCTGTCCTCAGTCAACACCCAGACCATGGTCAGTGGGACACAGCCATTCACTCAGAAATAAATACAGCAGGATTAACACTGAGTTAGCTCACCTACCACAAGACTCTCCTTAGCTCTGGTGATAAACCCTTTTACCTGGTCAGCCAGGTTCCTCACCTCAAAGACTTTCAGCGTTAAATGCGGGCAGGAGAACAAGCAACCACCGCATGCCTTATTAGTAACTAAATCTACCACAGCTAAAGGAACAAACAATTAAGATGGTACACCTCTCCATGGGAGAAAACTTCCCACATACACTGTCTACTTAAATTTTGATTTGCTTTTTAAGTAGAAGTTAGTGTTTTCAAATACAAAACTGACTAAAATTAAGGTGTTTGACAAGAGTATGCTCCGGCATGAGTGTGAGCAACAGACACAATGCTGACAAAAAGCAAACTGGCACAAACTTTTGGCAATACCCTCTGAAGGTGAGGTGCTCTTCTAGACGCTACTAGGAACTTCTAGAAGAAACCTTATCCCACCTCACCAAGGGGAGAAGTGCAGTCTATCCAAGCCTATATAGCCTGTGTGTGGATGAGGTAAGAAGTGGCATTAGGCTAAACAGATGCCTAAAGAACACCTAGCGAATAGACCACACTGTCTTCCCTCATCTACCACTTTCCCTCCAGATAAAGACATGGCTGTGTGTATGGCATCGTTCTTCAGTGTGCCATTAAATGATTGTGCCCATAACAGTAACTGCTGAGAGCTGACAAACGGAGGTCCCTACGGTGAAGACCGGATAGGTCACCAACTGCCTGTTTGCACAGCAAATACTACTGAAGGAAACATGTTCATTCAGAAGACAGTGGGTTTCACAAGAAATGCAAGTGGGAAGGCAACCTTATCTGTATGTGCTAAGGGAGTGGCACCATAATTAGCAGTTGCTACCTGGCTGGAGAACCAAGGAAGGGAAGGGGAGTCCCAGACAGAAGACCAAATATGGAATGAGGGCACACCCACTCCGGTCTGTCACATCACTTTATCCCAAGGGAAGGAGAGATGCCCATTCCACTCTTGTAAACCCACTGCCAGAGGAGCTAGCCTGGGGAGGTTACTGATGTCCTCCGACAGACAATGGATTTTTACATGCTGTGTGAGTACCCAATTCCTGCCCACCCAAAGAAGCAGTCACTCTGGTACTCACCAGCCCTGCTCTACCTAGACCTTACGGATTCGTTCCCCAGAAAAGTAATAGAGGCTCTGAGAGTTCAGGCCTATCCCAAGGCTGGCTGGGAGCAGATGTACCAGAGGAGATGAGCCTGTGACTAATACCAAGACCTGGCCTTTCCTAATACAGAATGCTAAGAGCAATACTTCTGGGTCGGTGAAGCTGTACCCCTATTTTGCAGAGGTGGAAGCTAAGGCTTGGGGAGAGCATACCCATGGCCACATCATAAGCCACAGGGAAGGGTTGGTCCAAACTCCAGTGTGTCCTCCCAAAAAGCATTTCTCCACAGTCTCCAGGACAAGGCTGGGAAGTCAAGAAGGATGGGGGACACTAACTCCTAAATCACCCTATAAAGTCTGTCCAGGTTCCTCCCACTCCCTTTCCCAGCTTGGGGGGGGGTCTAATCTCTCCCCACGGTGGGATGACACAGAGCACCATGTTTCCTACAGAAGGAATATAGATATCACGGTGACAGGCAGAGCCCAAGAAGCAGAGCAAGACATGAAGTGGTCAGTGGAAGCCATGTATCCCCAGCAGTGGGAGCACCATTACCGAGATGAGGGAAAAGCAGCTGGCTGAGCCAGAGCTAAGTCACAGATGGGATGGATACGGGGAAATCCAGCCGGTCAAGGGCCACAGGCACCCAGGAGCCACGACTCACTCAGCCCTGTATCCATCCCGTCCCAGCCTCAGGCAGGCATGAAATCAGATAAAATGCAAAGAGGGGGAAATGATTTGTTTTTAGATGACAGTGGCCAATCTGACCCAGGCCCAGACTCAGCCTCTCCCTGAGGGTCAGCTTTGCATCAATGGCTGAAAGCGCATCATCTGCTCGCCCCCCACCTACACAGACACACCCAAGGCAGCAACGACTACGGCAGAGCATCAGACCGTAACGAAAGGGTCACCAAGGCCTGCAGAGAGAACTAGCGGATGCATGGGGCTGCAGGGAGTCTGGACCTCCTGAGCCAGGCACTGGCCGCTGGAGGAGGCCAAGCTCGCTCACTCTCCCCCATTGCCCTGGGCCACAACTCCGGGTTCCCTGCCCCACCCCTGATACCTCCCACCACTGGGCAGGGTGACCTTAGCGCCCCAGACGGGGGTCGCAGGCGGCCACTCACCTCTTTGAGCTGCTCCATCTCGCTGCGGATGGCCTCATAGTCCACCTCGAGCTCCTCGAACTGCAGCTTGAGCTGGTGCTTCTCCTCGAGCACCGCCAGCCCATACTCGGCCGCCTGGATCTTCTCACGCGTGGTCTCGGCCAGCTCGTGGGACAGCCGCTTCACCTCGGCGCGCAGCCACTCCGGCTGTGCCTCCATCACCAGATGCGCGTACTCCTCCTCCTCCGACGGCGCGGACATGGTGGCCGCGCGCCGAGGCCGGCTCCCACCTTGGCTCCCACAAACCGGGCCCTCTTAGTGCCGCCGCCGCCCAGCCCCGACGGCCGCCCGCGCCGCCGCACTGCTCCTCCCTGACGCGCGGGGAACACTGGGGGCTGCAGTCCCGCTGCTCATGGACTACACAACCCGTAGTCCCTCACGCCCGCCCGGCCTGCGTCTGTGATTGGTCTAAATTCCCAGGGGGCGGGGTCCAGCACGGTGCCAGCCTACGTCTCCTTAGCATTGTGGGAGATGTAGTCCTGCTTCGGGTTCACGCCCTAGCCCGTTGTGCGCCGCGCCCGCTTGGCTCCAGTCTGTGATTGGCCGGCGCCGCTGACGTGACAGAAGTAGGGGTGCCACCGACCCGAGCCCAGGGACCCGGCAACCACCCAAAGAACCTCCAGCCTCGCCCTCCCAGCCTTTGTAGAGTAAGGCGAGCCAGGCTGTGGATACCAAGAGTAAGATTCGTGTCCCACAACGTCCGAGCATCGCTTGCCAGAATGTGGCGCGCGCTCTATGCGGGATTTGAATGACTTGTGGCGCGCCACGGGCACTGCCAAAAGGATGTGGACAACCCGACGCCAGGGACTCACGGGGAGCCCAAACCCGGACACTACTATCTCTTGTCCCACAGTCCGTTAGAATATTTTTTCATGGAACGAAGGCACTTTCCGTGAGCACGGTGTCATACATGTGTTTAAATGTTGTCTAGCCCTCGTTTTCGGCGTGAGAGATTATTTCAAGCTATAAATCTAAATAAACAACCCCCCCCATGGTGGTTTGGATATAACACGCTTGCTCTTCTCTCTCTCTCTCTCTCTCTCTCTCTCTCTCTCTCTCTCTCTCTCACACACACACACACACACACACACACACACACACACACACACCCTGCCCGCCCCGCGCAAACACCACACCCTACAGCTGCAGACCACCATGAAACATAGAGGTCAACTGAAGAGAAGGCTCAGAGAATAAAGCGCTTGCTGAGCAAGCGCAAGGATCTAAATTTGCATCCCCAGAGCCCACATAAAGCACAGTCTGTAATCCCAATGTTCCCGAGGCAAGATGGGAGGTGGAGACTGGAGAATCTCCTGAAGCTAGCCTGGTGTATGAAGAAAACAAACATCAAAAAAAAAAAAAAAAAAAAAAAAACAAAACAAAACAAAACAAAACAAAAACAAAAACAAAAACAAAGATATCCTGCCTCAAACATGATGGAAGACAACTGACAACTGGATATTCTGACTCCCATCTGCATGTGGGGCCCTTGTCCACACACAGGAACACGAACCCACTTGACACATATGCATGCTTACAAACATACAAAGATTAAAAGAAAATCTAGGGTCAACCCAAGAGTTGTGTAATAAGTAGACTGGGCCTGGTGGAACTCACCTTTAATCTCAACACTTAGGAGGCAGGGATAGGAGGATCTCTGGGAATTCAAGGTCAGCCTGGTCTACATAGCAAATTCCAGGACAGCCAGGACTACATTTCAAAAACAAAAAGAGTTGTGTGAATAAAATGTGTTCTTCCCCCTTTTCTTTAGTCAACCACCCTGTTTCCTAGGACAGTCTTGGCTCTACATTGAAAGGCCCACCACGTACCAAGCCCAAGCAAGCTATTCACACTAAGCAAGGGCAGGGCTCTACAATGGCTGCACCTATCCCAAGATCCAGTTTGTCACCGGTAGGGGTTGGGGAAACCAGGAAATACTTCCCTGAGGAAGTGACACCAGGGAGAGAGCCAGAGGGCTCCACATCAAGGATGTGCAAATAGGGAACCCACAAAAGTAAAATTAGATGAATCTCCCCGACCCCAGATGATGGGCCACTGCTTGAGGTCTGCCTGGGCCACAAACCTTGCCAAGTATTAGACCTGCACCGGCTCACTTGGTACTCCCAAAATTCCAGTTCACACCATCTGTTTTATGAATGAGAAAACCGAGATCCATTACTAAATCCTAGGTGTGGCCCTTGCCTTTCCACCGCTCACCCATTCAAAGGCTGGCACCCTGTGTGGGTTCGAATGTAATGGACCACTAAGTTCCTGGGGAATGGCATATATGAGGAGATGGGCTTTGAGGTCTCCTATGCTCAAACTGTTCCTAGTATCTCAAGTCACTTCCTGTTATCTGCGAGTCAAGATGTAGGTAGGGCTCTCAGCTCCTTCTCCAGCACTATGTCTGCCTGTGTGCTGTCTTGCTTCCCACCATGACGATAATGGACTAAATCTCTGAATTGTAAGCAAGCCACCACAATTAAATGTTTTCCTTTATAAGAGTTACCATGGAGCTGGGTGGTGGTGGTGCACACCTTTAATCCAAGCACTCAGGAGAGAGAGGCAGGCAGGTCTCTGTGAGTTTGAGGCCAGCCTGGTCTATAGAGCGAGTTCTAGGACAGCCAAGACTGTTTTACAGAGAAACCCTGTCTCAAAAAACAAACAAACTAAAAAGAGGTATCATGGTCATGGTGTCTCTTCACAGCAATAGAAACACTAATTAAGACGCCCTGCTCCTCAACAAACACTGCATGAGTGTTTGTTGTCCTGTTTGTCCCAATGGCTATTCCCCAGCCACAGCCAAAGCACCTGTCTTAATCAGTGACATCACCTCTCCCCCTCCCTCCCAAGACAAAATCAAGATGTCAAAACCACTTCCAAGGCTGCACACACTCTAAAAGGCCTCTTTACACCATATGGTTTGGTTGCTTCCTTCTGTTGAGTCCTGTGTACTCTGACACTGTGGGTCACAGTAGAATGTCAGTTCCATGAGGCCAGAAAACTTGACAAGGCCCAGAATCTTCTGAACCTTACCAGGGGTTCCAGTCAGGGTCCCAAGAGATTCTTCTCATGCAGTCTGACCTAATCCCCACTGCTCCCTTGGAAAGTGCGCCCTCTAGTGATAAAGTAGGGTATGTACAAGAGGATGGAGGCAGCCTAGCAGAGAAGAGCCTGAAGCAAGTAGTGAGGGCTCCTACCAGAAACACACAGTGGCCTTATCTAGTGATGGACTGCAAAAGCCCTGGGGGCAAAGAGGAGCGAATTTCTCCCTATCAACCTACTATGCCATTGTGAACAAAAGCTCCAGTGTCACAGGCATCCCAGACAAAGCTGGCCAGATGCATTACTGGCTAGGACTTGCCCCATATGGGGCTCTGCCTGGAGAGTTGTCCTTGCCCATGTGAGCATCTCATTGATGGCCCAGGAGCAAAGTGCTCTCATCTTCAGGTGGCAGCCTGCTTGAGTATGCTTGACTAACCTAGAAGAACGGTGCATGACATAGGATTCCTGAACACCATGCCCTATGACAGCAAATGCTCATTGGCTTAAATCTAAATGTTACTCATTCAACTGAGCTCCTCTATGTCAGGCCTTGGAGGCCTCCACACGTCACTAGTGGTAGTATAGGAGATCTTATAACAGCCTTTTTAGCATTTATCCTGCTCCAAGACCTGTGCCTCAGTATTAATATTTGGGCTAATGAGAAGGTAAAGGCACCTGCTCCAAGATTGGTCATCCTAGTTCAATTCCCACACCCACACAATGAGAGGCAAGAACTGACTTCTACAAATTGTTCTTGGACCTAAACACAGAGGCAGACACATAATACAGACACCCCACACACACACACCACACACACACAGACACACACACACACACACACCACATGCTCACTCAGTAACAGAGCCCTGAACTAGCTGATGAGCAAATGGATACTCCTCTCCCTTGGGTGTTCCTGCACTGACCTCTACTTCTTTGCTCATGTATCTGGGGGCATGGGGTCCTGTGGCTTGAGCCAAGACGGCTCTGGATGAGACAGCCCATTGGGACTATCACCCAGCAGTTAGGCTGCCTGCCAGTGCCTCTCCTAGCTTCACAGAGAACCTTTTGTCCTGTGAAACTCTGACCTACTCCTTAACTAATCCGCAGATTCAACATGGTCCCTATCAGAACCCCAGGTGGCTCTCTGTTTGTTTTCTAGAACTCTATCAAAAGTGGGAGAGAATCGAGAGCCTCTAACCCATGGTGTGCCAAGGCTCCCAAAAGGATATCAAAGAGTAAAGTAGGAACCACCTCATGGCAGATGCAAATTAAGCCCAACTAGGATTAAAGACCTAATTAGCACCATAATACTTCTGAAGAAAACCCAGGTGGAGATTTTTGTGTCCTTGGATTACGCAGTGGCTTCTTAGGTATGACATCTGAGCCTAAGGGACAGGGACAGCAAGAGGGGAGAGGAAGGAGTGAGAGCCCCCAAGTTTAAACTTTCTCCTTCACTGGATGATATTAATGCAAGAAGTCCTGTGACTGCGGTTCAGCCCCTGAGCACAGAGGTGTCAGCCCCCACACAGGGCGTCTTGGACCTTTGCAGGCCATGTGTTGTGAGGTCCCCATCTGGTCTTCTTCTCCTCCTCCTCCTCCTCGTCCTCCTCGTCCTCCCTCTACTATTCTCTCTCTCTCTCTCTCTCTCTCCTCTCCCCAGTTTCTCTACATAGTGAGTCTTTGGAACACACCCTGTAGCCCAGGCTGGCCTTGAACTCACAGGGCTCAGCCTACCTCTACCTCCCAAGTGCTACTACAGTGAAACATTTTCATCTGAGGTAAGGGATGCAGTAGTAGAATGGAGGGTGGGGGAGTGGATAAAAAGATTAAAGAGCAGGAAGAGAAGTCATGAACTTTAATAATAACATTAACACCAGCGAGTGCATTTGTTTGCTCGTGATGTCATAACAACAACCATAGACAGAGGGATCCAAATAACAGAAATCTATTTCTTCACAGTCCTAGATCACCCAGGTACCAGCATACTCCGGGACTTGGTACTGGTATCTTCCTTCATAGTTCACAAATAGCATTCTTCTTATAGGTGGACTTTTCTGTCCTGCCAGCCACTCCCCAAATATCCACACAGAGATTTAATATTAATTATAAATGCTTAGCCGATAGCTCAGGCTTGCTACTGACTCCTATATTTTTCTTTTTTCTTTCTTTCTTTCTTTTTTTTTTTTCTTTTTTTCTTTTTTTTTTTTTTGAGACAGGGATCCTCCTGTCTCTGCCTCCCAAGAGCTGGGATTAAAGGTATGTGCCACCAA